AAAATATTTACCAGCAATATATCAGACAAGGGGTTAACATCCTGTATATACAGGGAACTCAAGAAACTAATCCCTCCCAAACCTAACAAACCAATTACTAAATGGGCAAGGGAACTAAAGAGGGACTTCTCAAATGAAGAAATAAAAATGGCAAAGAAACACATGAGGAAATGTTCATCATCCCTGGTGGTGAAGGAAATGCAAATAAAGACAACCCTGAGATACCACCTTACCCCAGTCAGAATGTCCCACATCCACAAATCAGCCAACGACAAATGCTGGAGGGGATGTGGAGAAAGAGGAACCCTATTACACTGCTGGTGGGAATGTACACTTATACAACCACTTTGGAAAGCAGTCTGGAGGGTCCTTAGAAAGCTAAAGATTGACCTCCCTTACGACCCAGTCATACCACTTCTAGGCATCTACCCTGAACAACAGGAACCAATATACAAGGACACATGCACCTCCATGTTTATTGCAGCACTGTTCGCAATAGCTAGGATATGGAAACAACCTAGGTGCCCCACCACAGATGAATGGATCCAAAAATTGTGGTATCTATACACAATGGAATATTATGCAGCCATTAGAAATGACAAAATAATGGCATTTGCAGGGAAATGGATGGAGCTAGAAGGAATCATGTTGAGCGAGGTAAGCCAAGAACGAAGAGACAAACGGTACATGGTCTCCCTCATAAGTGGATGCTAAATCCAAAAGGTTAGTGATACGACAAAACTAACAGGACTTAAGAAACAAAGAACTCCCGCTCATCTGGTTGAACCACTACTAAATATCCTCATGCTGCTGATCACAAATATGGTATATAACATGTGAACACTGTTATATATTACAGACTGTGGTAGACAATTTGCTCCAGGGAAGTTAGAATGAACTTGTGACTTTGAAATTATGTAATCATTTAATCACAATCAAAAAAAAAAAAAAAAAAAAAAAAAGAACCTCGGGGAAGGGAGGGAGGGAGGGGATGGTAGGGGGAAAACAATGGAGGGGGTAACAATGTTCAAGAGGAAGTGTACTCATAACCTCACTCATGTAACTGTGACCCTCTGTATAGTAGCTTTACAATAAAAAAAAAAAAATAAAAAAAAAATAAAAAATAAAAAGAAAGCTGGAAGTGCTTCAACTGGTAGAGCGCTTGCCTTGAGCTGAGGGACAGTGCCCAGGCCCAGAGTTCAGGCCCCACGACCAACAAAACAATAAATAAGTAAATAAAATAATAGCAACTGAATCCAGCAGCATGTGAAAAGGATTTTACATAACCAGCAAGGTTTTATGTTAAGAATGCAAAGGGGGGGTCCAACATAGGTAGAACAATAATAAAATGGAGAAAAACGATGTGTTATCTGAGTTGATATAAAAAAGGCATTTGACAAAATGTGCAACACTTTCCTGATAAAAACACAGGTCATTCTCACCCTAGAGATGCCCTACTTTGATTTCAGTCTATTGAAAGTGTATATCTCCACCCCCCTCCACCTTACCTCCCCCCTACCCACCCCCCCCCAGACCTGAGGCTTGAACTCAGGGCCTGGGCACTGTTCCTGAGCTTCTTTTGCTCAAGGCTAGGGCTCTACCACTTGAGACACAGCACCACTTCCAGCCATTTCTGTTGATGTGGTACTGAGGAATCGAACCCAGGGCTTCACGTATGCTAGGTAAGCAATTTACATCTACCACTAAGCCACCTTCCCAGCCTTATATATCTTTTTTTTTTTTTTTTTTGTCAGTAGTGGGGCTTGAACTCTGGGTGTGGGCGCTGTCCCTGCACTCAGACATCTCAAGGGGAGCCGCTTTACCACTTGAGCCACAGCACTACTTCCCTTATATATCTTTTCTAATAAACTTTGCTACCAATTTCACTAATATTGCACCTTGCTTGAATTCTTCACACACCAGACATGACTGCGCTGACTTCCTGGTCATATATTTTAATACCATGACAGATCAAATACATCTGTTTTAAGCCTAGCACTGGCAGTTCACACATGTAATCCTAGCTACTCAGGAAGCTAAGACCCAGAGGATAGTGGTTTGAAGTTTGAAGCTAGCTGGGACAGAAAAGTCTGCAAGACTCCCATCTCCAATTAACCAGCAAAATGATAGAGATGTAAGTCAAGTGGTAGAATGCTGACCATGAACAAGAAAGCTGAGCAAAGGGCTGGTAGAGCGCTTGCGTTGCATGCATGAAGCCCTGGATTCAAGTCCTCAGCACCACATAAGCAGAAAAAGCTGGAAGTGGCACTGTGGCTCAAGTGGTAGAGTGCTAGCCTTGAGCTGAAGAGCTGAGGGACAGTGCCCAGGCCTAGAGTTCAGGCTCCATAACCAACAAAGAAAAAAAGAAAGGAAGGAAGGAAGGAAGAAAAGAAAAAAGGAAAGAAAAAGAAAGAAAGAAAGAAAGGAAGGAAGAAAGAAAGAAAGAAAAGAAAGAAAGAGCTGAGTGTAGCCAGGCGCTGGTGGCTCACTCCTGTAATCCTAGCTACTCAGGAGGCTGAGATCTGAGGATCGCGGTTCAAAGCCAGCCTGGGCAGGAAAGACCGTGAGACTCCTATCTCCAATAAACCACCAGAAAACTGGAAGTGGCGCTGTAGCTCAAGTGGTAGAGCGCTCGCCTTGAGCTGAAGAGCTGAGGGACAGCGCCCAGGCCCAGAGTTCAAGCCCCACAACCGACAAAAGAAAGAGCTGAGTGTGAGGTCCTGAGGTCAAGTCCAAGTACTGGCGCATACACACAGAAATACCTCTGATGTAGATTAATATGATCCTGCAGAAGGGAATTATTATTCTTTCCACCTCTACCCTAAATAGTTTTTTTAAAAAAGTCTGTCATGGGGCTTGAACTCAAAGTCTGGGTACTATCCCTGAGCTCTTTTGCTCAAGGCTAGTGCTCTACCACTTAGAGCCACAGCTCTACTTCTGATTTTCTGGTGGTTAATTGGGAGATCAGAGTTTTCAGTCTCTCCCGCCTGGGGCTGGCTTTGAACCGTGATCCTCAGATCTCAACCTCCTGAGTAGCTAGGATGACAGGCATGAGCCACCAGTGCCCAGGGGATTGCAAGTACTTGTCTATTGTTTGACCTCTGCTTTCTTTTCCTTATCCAATATTCAAGCAGTTTGGCTTGGCATATCTTTCTTTGTGGTTTCTTCCAGGTGCTATTCCTGCCTTCCTAAGTGCTTGGTGCTTCCTTTTCTTACCAGAATTTCACTCATCTCCAGCCTTCTTTTGGGCAGGGTTTTTGGTGGTGGTGGTGGTTTAATTTAAACAGTCCCAATAAAAGGCTTCCCTCAAGTGGGCTCTTTTTGGCCAACTTTTTATCTATCTTTAGTAGAGCTAATTGAGCTGAGGAGAAAATGAGCTGGGTGCTGGTGGCTCACACCTGTAATCCTAGCTACTCAGGAAGTTGAGATCTGAGGATGGCAGTTCAATGCCAGCCTGGACAGAAGAGTCCATGAGACTTTATCTCCAGTTAAGCAACAAAAGGCCAGAAGTAGAAGGTGGATCAAGTGGTAAAGCACCATCCTTGAGTGGAAAATAAACAATTAAAGAGTATGAGGTCCTAGCCAGGCACAGGTGGCTCACGCCTGTAATCCTAGCTACTTAGGAGACTGTGATCTGAGGATCCTGGTTCAAAGTCAGCCCAGGCAGGAAAGTTTGTGAGACTCTTATCTCCAATAAACCATCAAAAAACTGGAAGTAGTGCTGTTCAAGCCCCAGGACTGACCAAAAAAAAAAAAAAAGTATGAGGTTCTGAGCTCATGCCCCAGTACCAGCACTAAATAAATAAATAAAATATCTTTGGAATGCTCTTTTGGAGTCATGGAAAAATTTTGGAACTAGAGAGGGATGGTGGCTTTACTAAATGATGTTGAATTGCTTACTTTAACATAGTTCATTTTTTTGGCAGTGCTAGGGATTGAACCCAGGACCTCACACATGTTAGGCACATTATTACTGAACTGTATCCCCAGCCCCTAAATTGGTTACTTCTGTTATATGAATGTTGCCGCATTTTTTTTAAAACAAAACAAAAACCATATGGCAGCCCTTGGTTTAGCTATTGTTTTATGGTTAGCTGCAATCCATCCACCTACTTCCTAAGCGAACTGGCCACAAGTTCCTAAGGCAAAAACCAACCCCCACCCCCTCCCAAAAATCTACAAAGGGTACTCTATTGTAGGTCTGTTATTTTAAAACTAAAGACATATATTCTTATCTTTTTATTTGTTATTATTAAGAAGTTGCACAAAGGCCTTACAATTCATTAAGTCAGGTAATTAGTACCATGCTTCTTGGACAATATCACCCCTCCATTTGGTTTCCTCCATTTTTCCTTCCCATCCCTGCCCACAAGTTGCATAGCTGATTTTTTAAATGTTATTATAAAGGTGATATACAGAGGAGTTAGTTACATAAGTCAGGGAACCAGTACATTTCTTTTTGGATAATGTCACCACGTCCCTTTCTACCAGTTTTTCCTTCCCTCTCTCCCAGTTTTTACCTCCCATCCCCACCCACAGGTGGTAGAGCTCATTTTCAACAAAGTATCTAGTGAGTACCACTGCTGCATTTGTTCACCCTTTGTCCCTCCATTTCTGTGCCCACCCCTTACCCTCCCAAAGACAGATAAATGAACAAACAAGACCCAAAGAAAGAAAACAAAAACAGCAACCAAGGGGGGAAAACACTTGTTTCCATTTGCCCAGTTTATTTTTTAACATAGTGTATACTGAATACAATGACTGCATTTGCTCAGCCTCCCTCCCTCCATTTCTGTGCTCCCCCCTTGCCCCGCCCCCTTTCATTTATCTTTATCTTATGGTTCCTGTCTCCCACCCTCAGATCTGACTACTCTCTTGCAGCTTTAGGATAACACACAGCTGCGCCTGCTTGAGGCTGGCTGGCATCTGTGTTGATCTGGGAGCTGCAGCGTCCAAGTTAACTTTCACTTTCAGTTTCCTGAAATGACAGAGGAGCCAGGGGAAGGGCTGTCACCCGCCCCTTTGGTTTCATTCCTTTAGATTTTGTACCTTGACACACACAGAGCCCTGGGGTCTTGCTACCAGCACCAAGCTTGAGAAATGGATGTCCCAGAATGCCCTGAGTTGCTGGATGAGGAGCAGTACTCTCGGCAGCTGTGAGTCTTGAAGTGAGGGGTAGGAACTGGGATAGCCTACAGACTTGTCTTCACCTGTCTGCCTTCCTATTTCCCATCCACAGGTATGTGCTGGGTCTACCTGCCATGCAGAAGATTCGGGAAGCCAAGGTCCTGCTGTCTGGCTTACAGGGATTAGGGGCTGAGGTGGCCAAGAACCTGGTCCTGATGGGGGTGGGCAGCCTGACACTTCACGATCCCCAGCCCACCTGCTGGTCTGACCTGGCTTCTCAGGTAAGAGTCTATAGGGACCAGACTAGAGTCGGGGTGCAGTCAAAGCGCGGGATGGGGGGAGCATCTCTTTACTCAGGATGTGTTGCATCTCTCCTTAGTTTTTCCTCTCAGAGGAGGATTTGGGAAGGAACAGAGCTGAAGTGTCTCATTCACGGCTGACTCAGCTCAATGAAGATGTCCAAGTCTCCATCCATACAGGGGATATTACTGAGGACATCCTTCTAGACTTCCAGGTACCTCCTCCATCTCCTCCGGCTCCCCTTCAGCTTTCCAGGCTAGCCCAGACCCTTATCTCTTCGCCTTCAACAGCAGGAAGGGCTGAGTCTTGGTCCTGCTGATCGGGGTGTTGTTCTCAGGTAGTGGTGCTGACTGCCTCAAAACTAGAAGAGCAGCTGAAGGTGGGCAACTTGTGCCACAAACATGGAATCTGCTTTCTGGTGGCTGATACCCGAGGGCTGGTGGGGTAAGACTGCTTGCTCAGCCTACCATTACTACAGCCAGCAATATTTCCCAGTATTTGACCACCTACTCTAATTAGTTCTGGTACCCTCTACTCAGCCTTCTGCCTGTCCAAGCATCCCCTCCAGTTTTAGTCTCCAGTCTACCCCACCCCTACACACACACACACACTTTCTAGTTTCCTAGAAGTCCTTTCCCAATTTAGGCCCTATGAACTTGTCTTAGTGCCTCCTACCATTAATTCCAACCTATGAGACAACTCAGTGTCCCGTGCCACATCCTACATAGGCAGGTATTCTGTGACTTCGGTGAGGACTTCATTGTGCAGGAACTAACAGAGGCTGAAGCCCTGAGAGCTGCCATTCAGGACATCTCCCAGGTAGGAACCAAGATGGTGGGCATTTACTCACTGTCCATTGAAGGGTCCCAGGACCTGTAGAACGCAACCCTGAACCAAGCTACCTATCATCCAGGGATCTCCAGGCATTGTCACTCTGAGAGATAAGGACCATGGACACTCCTTCTGTGACGGGGACTTGGTGATTTTCTCAGACATTAAAGGGATGATTGAGCTCAATGGTTGTTGCCGTACTATCCGTGTACAGAGTAAGCCAACCCCAATTCAACCCCAATTTCAATGCCCAAGTCCTCACTGGGGATGAATGAAAGCTGGTCTTTGGGGGTAGGTATTCCCTACACCTTACCATGGTGCAACCAAGTCTGGAAGACAGATGTTAAGACAGGAGGGGAACTACTTGAGCTTAGAGATCTTGACTTACTAGATTGGATTTTCTCCCAGAGGATGGGTCTTTGGAGATCGGAGATACAGCAACTTTCTCCCATTATCTAAGTGGTGGGACCATCACTGAAGTCAAGAGATTCAAGATGGTGAGACATGTCAGTGCAAGGCTGAGTTGGGAGCACTTTGGGGAGCTTTGATGGGCCCACTGTCAAGTCCCTGGACTTGACTCTGAGCCAGGTGTCACCTGCAGGAGCCCCTGGACATAGCCCTGCTCCAGCCCCGAGTGGTGGCCCAGAATACCCAGGAAGTCCACCGTGCCCACTGCCTACATCAGGCCTTTCGTGCACTGCATGAGTTCCAGCACTTGTATGGCCGGTTTCCCCAGCCCTGGGATCCAGTGAGTAGCCCTGTTGCACCATCTCAGCCCCTGTCTTATTGGAGTCTTACATCATGTCAACAATCATTCACAGATCCAAGATGGAATCCCAGGTGGTGTTTCTCAATGAGAGAGAGAGAGAGAGAAAGAAAGCTGAAGAAGCAGAGTGCCTGCAGTTGGCTCACACTGTCATCCTAGCTACTCAGAAGGCTTAGATCTGAGGATTACAGTAGGAAGCCAGCCCAGACTGGAGAGTCCATGAGACTCTTATCTCCAATTAATCACCAGAAAGGAGGAAAATGGGAGTTGTAGTTCAAGTGCTAGAGCACTAACCTTGAGCACAAAAGCTCAGAGCCACCAAGGGCGGGGGGGGGGGGGGGGGGGCGGGGAGCGCGTAGCCAGGAATGCACTGTCTTACGCTCAAGGCTCAGTTGGAAGCTTCATCCAAACTGGTGAAGCCTTCAGGGTCCTCTATCTGGTGCTCTGCATCTCAGGTGGGGCTTTCCCAGGCTGGCAATAGTACCAGGCTATCCCACTTAGACTTCTAGGGAACAGAACTCGGGCTGGGGAGGCTATGACCACGATCTTACTCAACAGATTGATGCAGAGGCTGTGGTGAGCTTGGCTCAGGCCCTGGAACCACTAAACGGGACAAATGAAGAGCCATTGGATGAGACTCTACTGCGGATGGTTGCCCTGAGTAGTGCTGGCTATTTGAGTCCCATGGCAGCCTTTCTAGGAGCAGTGACTGCCCAAGAAGTCCTGAAGGTAGGTGCAGGCAGAAAAGGGGAAGAAGCTTGGGAAGGGGGGGTGTGTATTAGAGACTACCCAGTACCAGACAGCAGCCCCAGAGTCTTTACTGACCCAGGTGCTGCTTTCAGCTGGAGTCTGAGAGAGTTAGGAAGTGGCAGAAGGCCTCATCCTGGTGGTATCCCTAGGCAATCTCCAGGAAATTCGTGCCCCTGGACCAGTGGCTGTACTTTGATGCCCTTGATTGTCTTCCAGAAGATGGGGAGCTTCGTCTCAATCCTGAGGAGTGTGCCCCGGTGAGAGTCTAGAGGAAGGGTGCAAGCCTTATGCAAAATCAGGGCAAAGGGGAAAACAAGTGGAATGATCCCAAAGTCCTGATTCAAACTCATTGAGGAGTCTGTGTCCTTTGACCTCTGTCTGTCTGTTCTGTAGAGAGGCTGCCGCTATGATGGACAGATTGCAGTGTTTGGATCTAGTTTTCAGGACAGACTGAGCTGCCAGAATTACCTCTTGGTAAGCTGTGGGGTGAGGATGGGAGGAATATGACAGGTTCCCTTGCTAAAGAAATTTTTATTTTGCCAGTCCCAGGGCTTGAACTGGGGGCCTTGGGCACTGTCCCTGAGCTTCTTTGGCTCAAGGCTAGCACTCTACCACTTGAACCACAGCGCTACTTCCCGCTTTATCTGAGGAATCCAACCTAGGGCTTCATGCATGCTAGGCAAGCACTCTACCACTAAGCCACATTCCCAATCCTGGCTAAGGGTACTTCTGCCCAGCAGGTGGGTGCTGGTGCCATCGGCTGTGAGATGCTCAAAGGCTTTGCCCTAGTAGGCCTGGGAGCAGGGGGCAGTGGAGGTGTGGCTGTTGCTGACATGGACCATATCGAGCGCTCCAATCTCAGTCGTCAGTTCCTCTTCCGGTCACAGGACATTGGTGTGAGTACTGGCCATTCCCATACTCAGGTAATTGCAGACTTCCTTCTCAGAATGCTCCATACACCGGACATTTTTATCTGTTCTTTCCAGAGGCCTAAGGCAGAAGTCGCTGCAGCAGCTGTCCATGGTCTGAACCCAAACGTACAAGTGACTCCATTCATCCATCCACTCGATCCCGCCACAGAGCACATTTACGGAGACCACGTCTTCTCTCATGTGGATGGCGTGGTTGCTGCCGTAGATAGTTTCCAGGCCCGTGAGTGCTTGACTTGGAGCTCATCCTCTTGTCCGAGGTTGGCTGTTGGCCAACCTCGCTCCTGACCCTCTTCCCTCCTTGCTAGGATACTACGTGGCTGCTCGATGCACCCACTATCTGAAACCACTGCTGGAAACGGGCACACAGGGCACCAGGGGCAGTGCTTCAGTGTACATTCCGCGTGTAACCGAGACCTATAGTGGCCCTGCCTCAGACCCAACTTCTGAGGATACCCCCTACCCTATCTGTACTATCCGTTACCTCCCCAGCACGTTCGAGCACACCCTGCAGGTGAGTCCATCCCACCCCAACCAGCCCAGCCCTCAGCTGCCGATGGGTGCTTCATCTAACATCCAACTGTCCACAGTGGGCTCAGGATAAATTTGAAGGACTCTTCCGATTATCTGCAGAGACCATCAACCGCTATCAACAGTAAGCACACCCAACAGAGGTGGATAGGAAATCCAGAGCTCCAAGCACAAAACTCAACCTCACACTTTTCCTCTTCTTCTTCTATGCAGGGCGGGCACTACCCTCTCACACATGGATGGGCAACAGATCCTGATCTCACTACAGCAGGTGCTGGGTATCCTGAGCGTACGCCCGCAGACCTGGCAAGACTGTGTGGTGTGGGCCCTTCACCAATGGCAAGTGTGCTTCCATTATGACATCATCCAACTGCGAACGTGCTTCCCACCTGATAAAGTGAGCGATTATTAAGGGATGGGATTGCTGAGGGCTCAGGAGGATCAGATTCTGCCCAGCATTCTCTATTTCCCCAGGTGCTTGAGGATGGAACTCAATTCTGGTCAGGATCCAAACAATGTCCTCAGCCCCTGGAATTTGATTCTAGCCAAGTGAGTTGAGGTCCCCTTCAGGAACCCTGAGATAAGAGATGTGTCTCCTCTGAACAGAAGTTCATTTTGCAGAACTACACTACAGATACTGCCAGGCACTGGTGGCTCATGCCTATAATCTTAGCCACTCAGGAGGCTGAGATCTGAGGATCATGGTTCCAAGCCAGCCCAGGCAGGAAAGTCTATGAGACTCTTTTCTCCAATTAACCACCAAAAAAAAAAAAAAAAAAAAAAGCCAAAAGTGCAGCTGTGGCTCAAGTAATAGAGCCTTGAGCACAAAAACTTAGAGACAGAAATCATGTCCTGAGTTCAGAAGCCCCAGGGTCTTTACACACACATACACATATACACACGTGTGCACACACACAATGCACAGATGCTGAGAGCCACACTTGTGCATATGTGGGTGTCCACACGCGTAGTAGTCAGGCATTCAGATACTCAAATGGACAGTAAACTTTAGCTCAGTGCACCTATGCATACTTACTAATAGCCATACCTCTGCCCTGCTCTTGATCTGACTGTAGGGCATGCACTTTCTCTATGTGCTGGCAGCTGCTAATTTGTATGCCCAGATGCATGGACTACCTGGCTCATCAGACCAGACTGCGCTCAGGGGACTGCTGAAATTGCTGCTACAGCCTGACCCTCAACAGGAGAACCCTATCTTTGCTAGTAAACTAAAGCTGGCTTGGGGACCTGCTGAGTTTGGTGAGGCCCCTGACCCTGCCCTCCCCCCGATACTGCCACTAAATAACCTGATCCTATCTTCAGCCTGTGAGACAGAGGAAAGATGAGGTAGAGTGTCTTCTATCTAACTTACTACCTTTTAGGGCCTCTTGGCTTGCTTCTCTCTAGCTTTAGCCACATTTTCCGATCCTGAGGAAGTCTTGTTCCTGCTGCTTTTATGCCAATCCCAGTTCACTTGGAAAAGTCTTAGGGGAAAAAAAAAGTTCTGGATTATGCCTATAATCCTAGTTACTCAGGAGGCTGAGATCTGAGAATCATGGTTCAAAGTTAGCCTGGGCAAGAAAGTCCGTGAGCCTCTTATCTCCAATGAACCACCAGAAAACTGGAAGTGGCGCTGTGGTTCAAGTGGTAGAGTGCTTGCCTTGAGCTGAAGAGCTGAGGGACAGCGCCCAGACCCAGAGTTCAAGACCCACAACTGACAAAAAAAAAAAAAAAAGTTCTGGAAACTGCCTGGCTGTGGCCTCTAGTGATGACAGTCATGTAGGAGTTATGCACATGCAGGTTGGGGCTCCAGGGAGGCTAAGGGAGCTTGATTAGGGGTCACACCAGGTGCCGGTGACCCACATCTGTCAGTCTAGCAACTTAGGAGGCTGAGATTGAGGACTGCAGTTGTAAATTAGCCCAGGTAGGAAAGTCCTTGTGACTCTTATCTCCAATTAACCACCAGAAAACCGGAAGTGGGGGCTGGGAAAGTGACTCAGTGGTAAAGCGCTTGCCTTGCATGCCTGAGGCCCTGGGTTCGATTCCTCAGCACCACATAAGCAAAAAGAAAAAAGCCGGAAGTGGCGCTGTGGCTCAAGTGGTAGAGTGCTAGCCTTGAGCTGAAGAGCTGAGGGACAGCGCCCAGGCCCAGAGTTCAGGCCTCATGACTGGACCAAAAAAAAAAAAAACCAGAAGTGGAGTTGTGGCTCAAGTGGTAGAACACTAACCTTGAGTGAAAGAGCTGAGGGATAGCGTTCAGGTCCTGAGTTCAAGCCCCAGAACTGGCATCAAAAGAAGTTGGGGGTGGGCTGGGAAGGTGGCTCAGTGGTAGAGCATGAGGCCCTGGGTTCGATTCCTCAGCACCACATAAGCAGAAAAAGCTGGAAGTGGTGCTGTGGCTCAAGTGGTAGAGCGCTAGCCTTGAGCTGAAGAGCTGAGGGACAGCGCCCAGGCCCAGAGTTCAGGCCCCACAACCGGACCTAAAAAAAAAAAAAAAGCCAAAAGAAGTTGGGGGTGGGGGAAACGTTCCTTGATTTAATACAGGAGCAGTGACATGAAGAGCTCAGGAGATAGGTACTAAGAACACTCCGTCCCATGGCAGGTCCTGAGCAGTTAAAAGAACTACAGAAGGCCCTGGAAGTCTGGAGCAAGGGCCCCCCACTGAAGCCTCTGCTGTTTGACAAGGTGGGATCCTAAATAGGGGCGAAGGAGGCTGGGAATGTAGCTTAGTGGTAGAGTGCTTGCCTAGCATGCATGAAGCTCTGGGTTCCATTCCTCAGTACCACATAAAGAGAAAAAGCTGGAAGTAGTGCTGTTGTTCAAGTGGTAGAGTGCTAGCCTTGAACAAAAGAAGCTCAGGGACAGTGCCCAAGCCCCAGGACTGGAAAAAAAAAAACCCTAACAATAAATAGGGGTGAGGAATTGGACTGGGGCGGTGGTTGGGGTGGCTAGCAGCACTAGCTACTGGAGAAGAAGCAGGTCACCATCCTTGTACCTCAGCCTAACTGGGATGAAGGGGAAGATAATGAACCACCTAGAGAGCTGTGCAAAGTCCTTCACAATGGCACACAGTTGGCCCAGGTGAGGGGCACTGCTTCCATGTTAACATGACTATACTTTGGGCCTTGTAGGATGATGACAGTAACTTCCATATGGACTTTCTGACAGCAGCAGCTAATCTACGATCTCAGAACTATGGGATCCTACCAGCCAGCCGTGCCCAGGTAATCTTACTCCTTGGGAGTTGGGTCTAGAAGCGGAAGGCCAAACCCTAGCCCTTGGGCCTAGACCAAATCCCCTCTCCTTGGCAGAGCAAGCTAATTGTGGGCCAGATTATCCCAGCCATTGCTACCAGTACAGCGGCTGTGGCGGGCCTGCTGGGCCTGGAGCTGTATAAGGTGGTGAGTGGGCCCCGGCCCCTCCATACCTTTCGTCACAGTTATCTATCCCTGGCTGAAAACCGCTTCTACCGAAATGTACCTTCTGCCCCAGCCATCCACAAGGTGAGTTCTTAATCCCTTACCCCTGCTTCTACCAGTCTCGGGCTTTCCCCACACCCACCCAGTCAATCAGGTCCCACTCTAGCTGTGGGCTGTCTTACCACCAGACTGTAAGGGAAGTCCTCAAGTCTCCCTCCTGCCACTACCCCCTTTCTGTTAGGAAGCCAGGCTGGGGCCTGTCAGACACAGGAAGCAGCCGTCATCCATTCCTACACACACACACACACACACACACACACACACACACACACACGCACACACACACACACACACTCCTACAGTCCAGGGTCTGGGGGGAGCTGCAGCTTTAACTCATTAGTGGAGCCAGACATTCCCCCACAGACCCCTCCTTCCTAGGCAGGATCCCTAGGAGGGAGATGGAGGAGAGGAAGAGAAGGGTAAGAAGGAGAGTCCAAAGTCCCAGCCCCCAGAGAGTCTAGCTTTGCTCTGCAGGATCTGATGGCATGAGCTTACCACCATGGATGTGGGTTTGCAGCCCTATAGGTGCCTGTGTTTATGTCATCCATGTGAATGCACCAGGGTTTGGTCATTCCTGGTGTGTGGCATGGAGACAGCAAGCTTGCACATCTGTGTGCCAGATGGGCACACAAGGGTCTTGCTTGGTGTGGGTATTCATGGTTATGTATAAGTATATACACAAAGATGTCCCTGGGTTGGTGTGTATATGTGTTCCTGGGAATGCAAGGCTGGGAAGGCCCCCCCCCCAGTTGTGTGCCCACACTCTACAATGGTTGGCATTTCCTTGGGGCACAGAATAGGGGTACAGGAAATGCCTTCATCAGAGGAGAGGACAGAGGTCACTGGCTAGTCCTGAGCTTTTGCCCAGTAGCCCTAGGGTCCCTCTGGACACAATACACAGAGTCCCTTTGTGAGATGACTCACCCCCTAACCAGCACACAGACTGCCTTTGTCAATAAAGGAGGAAGGGGCTGAACCCCCATCTTGCCTCTAGCCTAGTCTCAGCTTGACCCCAGTATGATCTCTGAAAGACTGGTAGAGCCCCTTGTTGGGGACTCTGGCTGTTTATTACCTCTTGTCCTCAGCTCTAGGCGCTGGATCAACAAGACTTTTCAAATGGGAAAATAAAGAGACAGGAAAAGGAGGTCTCTATATAAACTGTGTTTCTGCTGGGATCTCAGGGGGTGGGGGGAGTGGGCATTAGAGTCTGGTGGTCACTGTACGCTTTGTTCATGTGTCCATAAGTAGTCTAGGTCCTGGAAGTAAGAGTAAGGAAATAGAAATGTGCACACCCCCCCCTCCACACACTGCCCCCAACTCTCCGCCCAAGGTCCCAGAATCTCATTTAAAGAACAAGCACTTTATCGGAGGCTGCCAGCAGCTCTGCTCCAGCTTCCTCAGGAAGCACCACCCCCTTTTAGCGTTCCCCCCACCCCACCCCTCTCCACTGGTTGGTGTGATGGATGTCTGCATCCCTGTACAGGGCCCCATAGTCCCATTTCCTGTGCTGGCCACAGCCTGGGTTGGAAGGGGGCTGAGATTCTGGGCCCAGATCCCACCTTCAACCAGAGGCTGCACACTTCACCCCCCCCCCCCCCCCCCCCCGCTTCCTGTCTCCAGTCCAGCTCCTCCTCCCCTAGGCAAGGCTGTGTGTGTGTGTGTGTGTGTGTGTGTGTGTGTGTGTGTGTGTGTGTGAATAACTGAACCAGAGTTTGCTACTATGTATGAGCAATCTCCCACTTCTTCTCTCCCCCTGTCCCACATGCCCCCCTAAGTTTCAAGACATGAAATGGACCCGTTGGGATCGCCTGAAGGTGTCAGCTGGGCAGCCAGAGAGGACACTGGAGTCACTGCTGGCCTGTCTCCAGGTGTGACTTGTTTCCCCCAGCTCTGCCCCTCTCCGCCCTGCCCCCCAGACCCAGGACAGCCTGGTCCCAGCAGACATCTGCCCTGTTATCTTTCTAGGAACAACATGGGTTGAGGGTGAGGATGCTGCTACATGGCTCAGCAATACTCTATTCTGCAAGATGGGCACCTGAAAAACAGACCCGGAGCCTGGCCCTTAGGTGAGCCTAAGCCCACAGCCATTCTTTTTTACCCAGCCCAACTCTAGGCCCCTCACACCTTCCTGAAGCATTCTTTCACCAAATGGAGCCAGCAAATGGGCTGGGAGGGGGGGGGGGGGTGGGATGAAGGCTTCAAGAGCTCAATGGCTTGGCTCCCCACACTACCCAGCCCCCCACTTCACAGCCCACTCCCAAGAGACTCATGGCTTCCTGCCTCCTGCCCGCTCCGTCAGCTGCTCCTAAAATAGTTTCAGATGTTTCCTGTCTTGAGTTGCTCTTGCTCCTGGTTTGGGCTCCCAAAGATTCCCCAGCCCCGTTGTCGTCTATGCCAGCTGGTCTACTTACTGTATACCTCTGCTCACCTCCCCAATCTCCCCTTTACCACACTCCCCCCCCCCCCCATGCCAGGGTGACAGAACTGGTTCAGCAGGTGACAAACAAGGTACCTGATCCTGAGGTGCGGGTGCTGGTACTGGAGCTGAGTTGTGAAGGTGAGGAAGACCACACGGCCTTCCCCCCTCTGCACTATGAGCTGCGACCCGACAGCCAACACCCCAGCATCTAGTTCTATTGACCCCTACGTTATGAGCCCGTGGCAGGCCCTTAATAAATGCCCATTCAAGGAAGATCTAAGTGGAGAGGATTCCTGATACGACTTGGGCTGGTAACGCACATGCGTATAACATGGACAAGGCCCTGCAAAAGGAGAGCATTCACTCTAGGTTTGCCTGTCTAGATCGTGTGCTTCCTAAGGCCGGGCCAGTGTTCTATGCCTCAGAGGTATGGAACCACCAGTCTAGAAAAAGATCTTTATTGTCCCAGGCTGGAAGGGCAGGGTCAGAGGTAGCTGACGTCATGGCAGATGATGGGTTGGCGGCTCCGGCAGTTCATGAGGGCTGCGAAGCGTGAGACTTCTACAGGCAGGTCAGGTGCTGAGCGAGGCGGGCAGGACAGTTGCTTGCCGGCCACAGCCGCCCGCCGAGCCCTGGCCAGCCGACGCCGCAGCTGCTCCGAGAGACCAAGCAGGAACTGGGGGGGCCGGGCCCGGACCCGGGGTACACCTCCATCGCTCCCTTCACCTGCTGCCTCGGGCAGTTCCATCCAATTGTGGACCAAATCGGCAAAACAGTTGTCACCCAACACCAGGGGCTGGCGACTTCGACCCCTGTTGAGCAGCGCCGATGTCCAGTCCTCTGCTTCTAGTCCCTGCCAGTGTTCTAGGCAGGCATCTGGCGTGGATTTGGGCCGTGGACGGTGGACGGGTGGCACTCGGGCTGCAGGTACCCGGCTGGGCAGGGGAAGGCCACTGACTGAGAAGCGCTGGCTGGGAGGGGGCCGAGCTGGAGGTGCTGGGCGCTGCAGTACAGATGCTTCTTCTTCTCGCCACGTACTCCCTGATACCTCGGAGAAACCGGAGTCCCAGTCTAAGGTGTGTTCTTTGGGCCCTCCAAAAGCAGCACCCCTGTCTCGTGTTACCACGGCCTCCTCTTCCTCTTCTTCCTCCTCCATACAGCAGACAGAGTCCTCCTCCAAAGTATCTGAGACCCTGAGCTGGTGGCTGGGCTGTACACCTGGGCTGGTTTTGGGGGCTGGCTGGAGAGGGCCAGGCATAGGGGGTGAGCCTGTGTCCCGGCCACACAACTAAAGGAAAGAGAAAGACACAGAAGTTAGAGGGGTATTGTCATCTCTGCTTGTCTTGCCGGGCCTGTCCTGAGAACAGAGGCACTGGAGGGCTTGCTAGGCCTAGCAGGCTAAGGGGGGAAACGAGCCCAGGGCCAGCCACCGGGGAGTTGGCACACGAAGTATGTGTGGCTCCTCTCCTCCGAGCTGGTGGCAATCCGGCAGGCTGCAGCACGCAAGGTCGGGCAAGTCTTTACCCGCCACCAGGGCAGGCAGGCAGGCAGGATTGTGGGCCTGCATCGGGAAGTAAGTCTTGTTCAGGGTTGAGAAAGCATCCTGTGCTTCTTGGGGTGGGGGTGGATTACAGATCCCCAAAGTTAGCCTTTCAAAGACGAGAGTGTTTACGAAGAGAGGGAGTGGAGGAAGTGGAGGAGATGGTCACAGAAAGAGCACCAGCATGGCTTGAGGCACCCTCCATCCGTCCTACCTCAAAAGAAGTCTGCCTAGTCCTCCCTCCCTGCCTCCCCCCAACCCCCAGCAGCAAGGCCAGCTGGATGACTGTTACCTGATGCCCACAGAACAGTTCCCAACCGTCCAGAAACCCGACTCGAGCCATCTGGGCCATCTGTACCAGGGCCACCCAGCCCCCACTCTGCTTGGGATGGGCACCCAGGGGGGAATTAAAAAAAAAAAACCCTAGCACGCACGCACATGCACATACACACACCCCAACTGACTGTTCCAGCCCAGAGGCACTGGGGTACCCCACACAACCCATCTCCCGACCACACCCACTCTCAGGCCTCACCAATTCCCAGCGGAGCTGGCTCAGAAAGCTGTCAAACCGAGCACTGTGCATGTCGATGCCCGAGCCCCCTTCCTCCAGCGCCTGCCAGCTCTTCTATGACCATCCCCAAAGGAAAGAACGGGGGGCACCGAGGAGGGCTGGGCTGGCCGGCCAGCGGCGCCCTCACCCACCCTCCTCCTCCTCCTCCTTCTCCTCCACCACCTCCCCTTCCTTGCTCTCTGTAGCTCCCTGCCTGAGGCCGCCCCAACATCTGGCAGCTGCGCCCCGCCCCTGGCGCCTTAGCCAATAGAGGCGGGACGGGATGAAAGGCCCTCCCTCCCCTCCCACCCCCTATCCGGACTGGGGAGGGGGGTGGTGACTTGGGCATCTCTTCCCCACTTGACATCCGCTTTGCAGGGTGAAGCCTAGCTGTGACTGGAAGCTAGACAAAAAACAAAAAACAACCCTCCAACTTCAGATCACACACACACACACACACACACACACACACCTACCTCTCCCCCACGAAACTCCTAGGTTTAGCTAATCTTGCTACATAACTCCAGGATCAGTCAGTTCCTTCCACTTGGCCTCAGTTTACCCATTTGTACCCTTCTCCCTGGAAGGGTCGGTTTGTTCTGCACCCATGTTGTGGGCAAGAATGCCAGACTGACCTGAAGATGTAGATCACTGGGAGGGGCGGGGGGGGGGGAAGGAAGGGGATGGGAAGGTTTGAACTCATGACCCAGGTCAGGCTGGCCTAGAAAAGCCCTTAGGAAGTGATAGGACATGGTTGATCCCCTCTGAGTACTTCAGAGCGCTGGACTTCCTAGCATTGGATGGCAAGGAAAGGGCTGCCCCTAGCCAAGTTAGGCTGGACCGCCCTCTAGTGGGGAGAAACCTCAAGCCCAGCTGGTTTGCAGGAGTAGTGGGAGAGCAATGCGCTCTCTCTCTCTCTCCCTCCCTCCTCCTCTGCCCCTCCTCCTCCCCCCCTCCTCCTAAGGCTAGCAATCTACTTACTTGAGCCACAGTGCCACTTCTGGCTTTTTTCCATTTATGTGGTGCTGAGGAATTGAACCCAGGGCCTCATGCATGCAAATGCAAGCACTCTACCACTGAACCACCTTCCCAGCCCGGAGATAGAGCTTTTTAGAAGTATCTTCAGGATGTGGCCTGATTGAACCACCATGAGAACATGCTAGAAAAAGGGGTCATTGCAAAGACTAGGAGCAACAGTGACAAACATAAAGAAAGATGTATGCAGCCAAATGCTGGTGACTTGTGCCTGGTAATCCTAATTAGTCAGAAGGCTGAGATACAAGGATCGCAGGTCAAAGCCAGCCAGGACAGGAAAGTCTTGAGATTCTTTTACTACTACTACTACTACTATTATTATTATTTAGTTGGTCATGGGGCTTGTACTCTGGACCTGGGCTTATTGGAGATCAGAGTCTCATGGACTTCTCTGCCCGGGCTGGCTTTGAACTGAGATCCTCAGCCTCCTGAGTAGCTAGGATTATAGGCGTGAGCTACCAGTTCCTGGCTTGGTCTTGAGATTCTTATCTCCAATTAACCAGCAAAAAGCTGGGAATGGAACTCTGGATCAAGTAGTACAGAAAAAAAAACTCAGGGACAGTGTCTAGACCTTTAGGTAAAGCTCCAGGATCAGCACTGGAAGGAAAAAAAAATAGGAACCAAAGGCAGCAAACATCAATCTCTGTAGAGAGGGGGGAAGATTGAAAATAAACTATGGCCTCATAGCTGGGTACAGTGGCATATGCCTGTAGTTATAGCACCTAAAGGGGCCAAGACAGCAGAATTGCTTAAGCCCAGGAATTTGAAGGCTAACGTGGGCAACATTACAAGACCCCATCACAAATCCAAACCCAGCCAAAAGCGACTAATGGCTTTTAACAGTGTACAGGTCACTGAAGTTCTTATCCAAGGGCAGTTTTGTGGAAAGAGGGACAAACTTGACTAGTAGGGGTAGAGAAGAGGAGTAAGAGATGAAGAACTGGAGGGCACAAGCCAAGAAAAGTAGAAAAACTAACATGATGAGGCTAGTGGTATACTCTTGTAATCCCAGCATGTGGAGGCGGAGGCGCAATCAATGTTAAAATCTTCAGGCACCTGTGCAGCTGTCACCTGGATTAAGATACAGTATCTCTCTAGGAAGCCACTTTGTACCTCCTCCAGTTGTTATTCCCACAGGTAACCACCACTTTTATTTCTACCATCAAGGATCCCTTTTGCTTGTTGAATGCAGACAAAGGGGGGGGGGGAGAGAAGGAGAGAGGGAGAAAAGGAGAGAGGGAGAGTGTGTGTGTGGACTCAAAGCCTAGGCACTGTCTATTAGTTTTTTCCCTTAAGATCTGACACTCTATAACTTGGGCCATTTCCTGGCTTTTTGCTGGTTAATTGAAGATAAGAGCCTCAGAGTCTTTCTTGCCCGGGCTGGCTTCAAGCTTCGATCCTCAGATCTCAGCCTCCTGAGTAGCTAGGATTACAGGTGTGAGCCACTGGCACCTAGTTGTATGAAGACAATTTTAAGAGTTTTCCTTCCCTCCTTCCTTCCTTCCCTCCTTCCTTCCCTCCCTCCCTCCCTCCCTTTTCCTTCCTTCCTTCCTTCCTTCCTTCCTTTCTCTCTACTGGGATTTAAACTCAAGACCTTGCACATGTTAGGCAAACACTCTACCACTTGAGCCACAAACCCAGCCCATCTTGCTTTCTTTTTCTCGTGTTTTGGCTCAGGGGCTAGCCTCAGACTATGATCCACCTACCTGTACCTCCTGGTAGCTGAGATGACAGGTGTGAACCACTACTGCCTGGCTTATGGGTTGAGATAGTGTCTCAGGAACTGTTTGCCCGGCTGGCCTCAAATTCAAATCCTCCAGATCTCCTCCTTCCTAGCAGCAGGAATTGTAGCCATGAACATTACGTCTGGCATTTGAGAGACTTTCTTGGTGGTTAGGTGTGAATTTGTAGTTGGGGGGCAAGGGGGGGCGGTGGAGAGGGGCGTAGCTGCAGTTCAGATTCTGTGGTCTTAGGTCTAATTTTCCTAGATGCTATGCTTGCCCTGACTCCAAGGACAGGGTGACCAGTTTCTCCATCTGTAGTTTGATCCTCCTCCTATTACATCCCCTTAGGGTTGTAGTAATGAATGGAGTAATTCACTGGGAGTGGTGGAAAATGGGATTTTTCTAGGCCTGTGGATGCCTGCCAGAGGTCTAGAGCTCAGTCACCAGGAATGGGTTGGGCTGGAGTCTGGCAGTCTTGCCTGCCTAGCTGTGTTTAAGCAACTAACCTGGCAACAGGGCAGGTCTGACAAACAATCTCCTTTACCATCACGCCAGGACATCATGACACTGCTCAAGCTCCTGACGCTTCTTTTTGCTCTGCTTGTCCCTGGTGAGGAGAGGGTGGGTGGAAGAACTCCGTTTTCTTTTGGAATCCTGATGCTTATATAAGCTACTCTGGAGGGCAGGTGTAGAACCTTAGTCAGAAAAGAATTCCTTAGCCAGGCACCAGTGGCTTATACCTGTAATCCTAGCCACCTAGGAGGCTGAGATCTGAGGATTGTGGTTCAAAGCCAGCCCAGAAAAAGAAACTCCACGAGACTTATCTCCAGTTAACTTCTAAAACAATTAGAAGTGGAGGTAATGGCTCAAGTGGTAGAGTGCTAGTCTTGAGTACAAAAGCTCAGGGACAGTGCCCATGCCCTAAGTTCAGTTCATGTCAGTATCAGGACTGGCACAGAGAGGAAAGAAAGAACAGAAAAGGAAAGCAAAGCAAAGCAAAGCAAAAAAAAAAAAGAGTCTGGTGCTAGTGACTCATGCCTGTAATCCTAACTACTCAGGAGGCTGAAATCTGAGGATCAAAGCTTGAAGCCAGCCTGGGTAGAAAAGTCCCCATGAAACTCTTTGTTGTTATTGTTGTTGTTGTTGTTGTTACTGATTGTGGAGTTTGAACTCTGGGCCTGGGAGCTGTCCCTCAGCTCTTCAGCGCTCTACCATTGAGCCACAGCACCACTTGCAGTTTTCTGTTGGTTTATTGGAGATAAGAGTCTCACAGACTTTCCTGCCCAGGCTGGCTTTGAACTTTATTTCTCAGAGCTCAGCCTCCTCAGTAGCTAGAATTACAGTTGTGAGCCGCTGGGGCCAGGCTGAAATTCTTTTTTTTTTTTGGGGGGTCCAGTCGTGGGGCCTGAACTCTGGGCCTGGGCACTGTCCCTCAGCTCTTCAGCTCAAGTCTAGCGCTCTACCACTTGAGCCACAGCGCCACTTCCGGCTTTTTTCTTGCTTATGTGGTGCTGAGGAATCGAACCCAGGGCCTCAGGCATGCAAGACAAGCGCTCTACCACTGAGCCACCTTCCCAGCCCTGGGCTGAAACTCTTATCTCCAATTAGCCACTCAAAAAACCAGAAATGGAACTGTGGTTCAAATGGTAGAGTGCTAGCCTTGAGCAAAAGAGCTCAGGGGCAGTGACTAGACCCTGGGTTCAAGCTCTATTACCCACAAAGAAAGAAAAAGGAGAGCGAGAAAGAGAAAAGAAGGGAGGGAGGGATGGAGGGAGAGAGGGAAGGAAAGAATCCCTAGCTCTTGTTCCCCTCATCTGTGAAATGTTAGCTATGGGGGACAAGGAAGGATCTTGGCTTGCTTGGTCCCAAGATGGAGGGGAGATGCCCCAGCCTGAAATCTCTGATCTTTACAGGCCTCCACAGCCTCCCCTGGTTTACGGATATTTCTGAGCGCCGAGGTCCTGGCACTGTTGTTCAGACATTCTCCTTCAACTGCTCTTCCCACATACCCACCCTGGAGTTGCTTAGCGTGCAGCCAAACACTACCTTCTTCAACCCACCCACCCTGGCTGGGCATCAAGGGAGATATGTGGGCAAGGTAGGGGGTGGGTGGGTCATGGGTCCAATTGGAGATTGTGAGGGATCTAAAGACAGCCCTGAAATTCCCTAAACCAGAGGTGGCATAAGCCTCCCTTGGTACTGTTCCCTTCCTACAGATCATCTTGAGCAGCTCAGCCCGGCTGGATGCCCTGGCCGTCAACCACTATGAGCTGTATTTACGGTACAAATGTGGCAATTATGTGATGGATGGACCCTTTTCTGTGCTGGTGCAGCGGGACCTTGGGATCCAGTGTGTTGGCCGATTTGCTAGCCAAGGTGAGGCTAGAAGCAGCAGGAAGGGAGGTGGGAAGGAAT